GTGTGACAGAAACACCCAGCTACAGACTCAGTAAATGTTGAATATGTAATCAAATGATGTCCAATTTTAAAATCTAACAACCCTATTTCAAGTTTAATTTTCAAGAGAGAACAATCGGCTTCTATTCAGATCAATTTGGTAGCCTGTCATCAGACTGATCTTAATAACGGTACAATATAATTAGTTGAGAAAGCCTTTCTTAAAGACTGCTGTGTCTGACAACAGTACTAACACATCAACTGTATACATACTTGGTGTGGCTGTGAGGAGTTCCAGTGGCCTTTCCAAAGTGCCTGTACACCTCTCTGCCTTTGCGGGGTCCTGAAGAAAAAAACAAATGTCTGATTTAAAAAAAAAAAAAAAAGCTACAAAATGTTATACAGAGTCTAAGAAAAACCATTAACTCACATTCATACATCTATTTGTAACCTACCATAATAAAAACAATTTGTACATTTGTACCTGCTCGAGAGATTAAATTAAGTTCAAGGAGAAGGAACTCATCTGTTATCTGCTCAACTAACCAATGACCCGTATATCAATTTCCTTTCATTTTTTTTATTTTATTTGTGACATAATCTAGCACTACGTTTGTATTTGGCCTCATGAAAGAAACAAATGGATGTGCAAACTGTACTGTATAAAATACAACTGAACCATTGCACTGACAGTTGACAATACAATGGTTCAAAGACACAGCATACTGTAAACCAGACATCCCTTCTCTTGCAATGATCAATAATCAGTAATAGGGGAGTCATTAACTCAGTAAAATGATTACTTCCACCAGCACTTGATGCCAGTAGTTTTCACTAATTGATAATACTTAACGCTTTAAAGAGAAGCCTTTCATACAAAGAAACCATTGAGATGTATGAGTCTCTTCAGCCTGACAAATTCAGGTGATTAGTGCTCAACAAACAGAAACAAACAAGGTCCACAAAGCTTACAGATGATTAAAGAGAAATGTGAATATCTGGTGATCAACTGCAAACAATCAGGCAAGAACACAAACTTGTTTTCCTAATTCAAGCAGTATTCTTATCTAAGACTTTACAACAGACTCATAAGTGGATATTATCTACTCCACTCAGATAAAGCTGAGTACTGAAGCAGTGTTAGAAGCCTCATTAAAGCAGCTATAACATATCAGCCTGAAGGGTTAGGGCAGTTATCAAACAACTCTTCATTTCATGCAAAAGAGGGGGAATTATTTGCTGTCATAGCAGTACTATGTGTGTTATATAACACGGGTTAAGGGTTAGCCCTAATGGAAATCTATACAGTTACCTGACAATGCTACAGGACCACATTTAAAATGAGTGCAAGCTTGATTTAATATGCGTTAGATGGCCATGGTAGAGCAATGACTGCTTCCATCATCTACTCTAATCACATCACTGTATTATAATTTGATAATCTACATGTTTAGTTACCTGACAGCAGCACGGTGCCCTGTCCTTTGGGAGAAGCCAAAGCCAGCTGGTCAAAGGTCATCACCTGACCTCCTGCCTTCAGGATCCTGCGGCGGGCACCATCAGTAACCTTCAGAGCGCAGATCTGTAGGACAACAAACAGGACATGAGGACCCTCTCAGAGACTGCCAACAACATCAACATCTTCTGTACACTGAATTATATTTGAATAGAAAACAAAGAAAGACTAATAGGTGAATTCAGGGGTTACCTTGAGCTTGGGGATATCCTGAATCCTGACATCATCAGTGACTGTTCCAACAACAACAGCGGTTCTGTTCTCACGGCCCGGCATCTTCATCTTACGGATCTGGTCACAGTGGAAGCAAAGGCAGAAATTCAGCGCGCATAATCACACATCTAAACGACGCTTCAACATTAGAGCTATAATATTCCCAAGACTGATGGTAAATAAGCAGTTTTTGACTAATTATATGGACATCTACAGTTACACGTGTTGACTTCCTTCTCTTTACCTTACATGGATTTACATTGTCAGTGTTGAGTCAAATGGGGAATAAACAGACTTCAAGTTTTATCTACATTTGTAAACCCAATCTCAACTACATCACAAGATACAGGGCCATTTAAAATCAGATCAGGCCCCCTGACGACTAAAGATGCACCAATCCTAACATCTCAAATATTATCCAAGGATAGCCAATCTTTGTGTTCAGGTCACATGAGGTCAGGATGCTGTGGCCCTGGAGTAGTAGGGCTGCACGATCTGGTAAAAACATATTACGATTGACGATTAAGTGGGAATGATCATTTTTACTTTAAGAAAAACCTGTTAAAATCACAATGATGGGAAATATTTGGGGATCCGTACCAAACAAACATGTTTTCTTAAATCTGGAGAATAAGATTTGCAGACCAGGACATCTGTACAGCACTACAGTACTTCATTATAATGCTGTCACTCATTTTATCTTAATCACAACTTTTACTTGGCCATATCGCGAATTTGATAATATTTCCATTAAGTGTGCAGCCCTATAAAAGTACCCAACCTAACTGGATTATTGAACAGATAGTTGAAACACTGAATTTAGCACATCGACTATCAACTATGATGTGGATCTGTCACATCAGCACAGATCTGATCTACGGGATCAAATTGGTGCATCCCTAAAAACAAGCCAAACTAAACCTTAAAATGTCGTCAAATGATGCCAACACGAACCTAAAACTACATGTAACTGACTCAAACACATAAAAAAAGAACATTTATCCTTTAGTGGCGGACAGGATGAGAGATAACTGACCAGACGGGAGACGGAGATGGGAGGCCTGTTGGTCCTGCTCATGAAGAGCCTCCTCAGGACAACCTTGTTGAAGGGAGCATTGGAGCGACGGGCCAGGAACCTGTACAACTGTAACCAGCAGCAGGATGGTTAGGAATATAATGCACATTGAGACCACCTGTCTCAACATAATACCACTACTGGTGATAAAGTATGACGTGTGAATATAAAATTACCTTGACCAGGAGCCTCAGATAGATATCCTGGCTCTTAGGTTCTTTCCTGTGCACCTTGCGGTCCTTGTTATGCCTGATGTCAACTCCCTTGAGAAGTGAACAGAAAACACATTAACACAACAAACAGTAATAAGCAGTTTAATCTTAAAACTCTTTGTATTAACAATAAAGACACATTACATCCCCCTGCTCCACTGCTCACTCAGCTTATATTATACATTCAAGTCTACTGCTGCCAAACTACACTTAACACCATTAAAGTGAGCAGAACTTATATAATTAAACACTTTGGTGCCTTAAGTTAACTTCACATGCTGCTCTACATTAACTACAGCACAGGCCGGTTCACACGTTGACTCCTCTCAGCTATCTGCTACTAGACAACACAGCAGCGAGATGTACATTTAGCAAACACACGTTAACTCTAGGGTAATATAAAATGCGGTTAGACATAATATTCCGCTTTCTGAACCACTTTTAAAGCCTCGTTTCTCATCCACGTCAAGGAAGCATTGGACCGCCACTAGTTCGGCATCAAAGAGGGTCAGCTACCGTCATTTACGTGGTCAAATAACACCAAATCACGACAGGACTGAAGCGTAAATGGTGTTTAGAAACAGCAAAAGTCGCCATTTAGAAGATGGAAAGCTTTAATTCAGAGGATGATCGTGGATAGTCGGTCTATCGTGGTTTTAAATTTCTACTAGCAGCACCTACCATCTTGGACTCAGAGCGAAAAGGGAAAAGGAAGAGCCGAGGTCTCGCGATAAACACTGAGCTCAAATCTCGGGTCTGTGATTGGCTACTGAGCATGCGCTTCCTGCAGGACAGTCAAAACAAAACCCCGGCTTATTCAGGATGCTGCCTCCAGTGGTAGAGACGAGGGTTATTGATTGATTTATTTTAAGACTCCTTGAGTTATGGCTTAATAATGTATAATTATAATATATTTAATTCATACTGCTGTTGTTCAGGTTACTGGTTGCACCTGTTCAACAAGTTAAATGCCTTTTGAGAGGAAAGTTTAACTAACTGTAGTAACTACAATTTGTAAGGAAAATCCCAGTTGTACTTCTATTAATCAGACATAGATGGTGTGCTTTTGCAGACGTAGATGAATTTGAGGAGATTGGTTCGTGCACAGTAGCAGCACCTTGAGATTGAAGCAGTTTAATGGATTTCAGCAATTAGTTTTATCACTCACACCTTTACTTTTCCTACTGTAGTTAAAATCCTTCAACACCTTTACTTTTCCTACTGTGACCTGTCAAACTGTCTTAGGTAAAAGGCCTATAGAGTCTCGCTTAATCTATATGCTCTAAATTTACCTCTGAGCTGTGATGCACAAAAGTAAATGTCAGACTCTCCACAGCCCAACCTCCTCATATATAAGTTATAATTACACAAGATGATTCAAACACCTTGCTGTGAATGGTCTCAATCAAAAGCTACATTACACCAAAGCAAAGGGAAAACTCACATTTGTGTACTGCGAGTGTTTATTTATTGTAAAGACTTGTTGCTCCTGACGTTTGAGCACAAGAAACCCAATTCCTTTAGGCTCCAATTGTATGATAAGTGAGTTACAAACAAAGCCTTGTCAGAACACACAAACACTGAATGAGTTATTGGCGCTCGGGGGGGGGTAAATTGTATTGTTTTAATGACCAGCTTTAGTGAAGATGAGTGCTAGGTTGTCTGTATGGCAGCACTGATGTAGAGAAGATATACATTTAATGGTATCATCTTTTATACTAAGTTATTCTTTCTCTTCTCCAGGCCCTACATCCGCTCCAAGGGCAGGAAATTCGAGAGGGCTCGTGGACGCAGATCCAGCCGTGGCTACAAGAACTAGTCTTTGTTTTCCATGCAATCTGATACAAATAAAAGATCGACTGTACAAAATGAGTTGTCTTTTGTGTCTCACTGGACCGCTTACACAGTGGCATTGTCTTTAGGGGGTCAACTTATTAAACATCACAGGAGAAGAATGGGCGAGGGGTGAATCACAAATCACAACCCTTAATTTCCACTTACAACCTTCACTGAGGATCCATCAACCAGTATTGATATGAGTTGTCCAGGGAAAGAAAAAAGGGGAAAAAATAAGTGAGTTGGCCAGGAAGTGTTGGCCTGTCAATGATTGGAGAATGTCGGTGGGTGTTGCAATGTTTTCCTTATCGCCATTGGATTTCCTCTCCGCCGCTCAAAGCCGCCGCTGCTGCGTCTCCTGCCACTTCCTGCACCGAGCCACAGATCTCAAGGCGAGCGACTGTCTGTCGTCGTGAGGGGGGGCCGACAAGATGAGGTAATGTGAGGCTACTTTTAACTTTGATTTTAATGTTTAATTTGAGCCCCGGCTCTTCGTAATGTGCCGCCGGTACAGTAACATCTCTGTGAAGTTACCGAGAGGTCCGTGTGGAGCTTTAACGCCTGTTAGCAGCCTTCTGCTACTTGGTGGTAACGTTGCCTCATTAAATCAATCAATAAATGAGAGGTGTGGTGTTAAATAAAGGTGTTTTTTTTTACACATAATAGTGGCGACTGGGTGTTTTGAAGAGAATACGGTTTTAATAGTATAATAGAAAGTTAGCTTGGACTAGCCGCTGCTAGCTGACACCGCTGCGTACAGTAGCTACTGTATTCATAACATTAGCTACTTATTCACTTCCTCAATACAGATTTAAAGCTTCTGCTTCTGTACAGTTACTGTGAGTTAAATACTGCAGCACTTATGGAGAATATATATATATATAATAATGTGTGTTGGCTCTGTAGCGGTTAAACTACAGTTGTAGTAAAGTCAGCTCGGCTAACAGCCTGTCAACATGCTATCTGAACATTAGCTGCCTGGACGTCGGTAAAGTTTTAATGGTCAAACATTAATGGTACTTTCAGGTCGTTTGGGTTACTGGACGAGCTTTTAACGCTGCTGTTGAGTGCAGCTGTGCTCGTGGTGTGGGAGAGCTCCTGAATTCACAGTTTAAGCTCACAAAAAGTTGCCCCAAATACCCCCTGAAGTCAGTGAACAGCAGCCTCATTGTGCAGACAGAATTAGCCCGGTGATATTATTTCTGGGTGTCTCCGTCCGGCGCTTCAAGGACGCAAGGTGCAACAATGGGCATCAGTGAGGTCCTTTTGTGTGTGTGAGTGTGTGTTTATCAAGACGGGACATCAGCCAAGTATTGATTTTGTCTGCACCACAGCTTACATAACGTTTTCTGACTGTAATGAAACTTGAAAGGAAAGATGTGGTCAGTTTATTAATTTAGGGTGTAAGTCCAGTGATTGTACTTTGACGCATCAAAGTCTACTTAACTGGGTCCTGCTGGCTGGGGGCTTTAACATGACCTGTCCTGTACATACAGATAATATGAGGGTAATAAGACCTTGCACTTTCTTTATTATATACAAGGAGACTTTTCCGAGTCATGTAGAGTTAAGTTTAGCTCCTTATGAACTTATTTCTTTATTGGAACATTTTTTGGGGATTGTTAAGTAAGATTGTTGCTTGCTAATGCCTTTAAAACCTCTAATCCAGCACCATTTAGGTCAGCAATTGAGCAAAATCTCCATCCTAGATTTAAAATTGTGAAAGAGACACTGTTTCCCCAGATCCTGTTTGACAAGAGCTCTGAACATAAGAAATACCAATCACACGTGGTCATTCTCCCGCAACCTTTCTTCCAAAATAATGTGTTGTCTCAGCAAGACCGTTGAGGATGTGTGACTGTGAGTCATTATGGGCAAAGACGCACTTAAGGTCAAGGGGCATGTTGGATCTTGCGTTGCTTCACCCCGTCTCCGTAATCTCTTCGTTTTATCATTACAGTCCGTCTGTACTTGTTCTCCTCTGACTGTGAAAATGTGATACTGAAATATTCACCTTTGCACAGTGAAATCCCAGGTGAATTGGGCACAATTTATTTACTGTGCTTCTTTCTTTAATGTCAGTTTCTTACCGTTCTGCTATAAAAATACTTTTAGGTGGATGACCCATACATTAAAGCTTTGCCGTTATTTTATCCCTTTTTAAAATTCTCCTCCTCTCCTCCTTTGTCGCCGTTCAGGAACAGAGATCTTCGGGAGGGAACGTGAGGCTCGACAATGACATTACCATGACATAAACTGAGGACCCACCTGGAACTGTCTCCTTGTTTGTCTTTTGTTTTGTTTAGTTTTTTTTATTTTTGTCTGGTTTGCATTAGTTCACCTAGTGTTCACCCTCTTCTTGTGGAGAACATTTAAGGCAGTAATGCAGGGGTATTTATTTGGATAAAACTTTAATGTATCACACTACTGTCTGAGAGGTCTGACCTTGTCACTCCTCTTGTCTGCCTCCTACATATCACTGAGATTAAAGATAGCAATAGAGGTATGAAAGGTCTTGAAAAAGTCTGCACTTATCATATCTTTGTGGCATTAATTTCATTTCAGCCAGCACTTACCATGCGACATACTTCTTATTCTTTACTTCTGCATTAATTTAATTTAATTGTTGTAGCCTCCTTGTCTAAACAAGGTGTGTTTGTCTTATCCATACTTAATTTTGTTTCAGTGTAACTAAGTTTCAGTTTTGCCCTTTTGTGTAATTATTTAAAGATTTATTGTTAATGTCGAGGAGCTGCTCAGCTGCCTAATGTTATCACAATAGGCGGCTTTAAGTTGTCATGTAAACTTCTTCTCTCTTTTTTTTACTTATGCAATCTTTGTGAAGAACACTTTTGTTTAAATGACTGATCTTGTAGTGGAAAATATACCTTTATAAGTCCTGTTGTCTTTAAGTATGTGGAAGTATCGCTCACCCACTTTTCCACTGGCAGTAAACTGTAGAAGCTGACAGCTCTTCAGATCAGACTGTGATGGGAGCTTTCTAACTGTGACACAAAGACTTATTTAGCAGTTCCAATTGCACTGGATAAATACTTTAAACAGGAGAACCTTTAAACTGGAAGGACTTAATGTTTCTCTTCAAATGAAGATACACACCTGAAATGGACAGATGGGAACAGAAACTCAGAGCTGATTTTGTTGTGTGACTGTGTCTCTTGAATTCAAGCACTGAAGAGGGAGAATGATTTTGAGGAGATTTCAGGGATAAAGTTCTCAGACTGACATTCAGATACATTTTGATTTCCCCTGCAAATCTTCGGGCCTCTAACTACGGAAGATACTTGTTAGACTTTTTTTTCCTGATAAACCGTGTGAGGTTTCAGCAGTGAGGATGCGATCTCCAGAACCCTCCTTACCCTCCACAGCAGAAGCCCTCCTTCATGGCCAGTTTGCCAGCTGGGGATCCGGCAGCAACAGCAACAATAACAGCTGCCCCAACAGCCCTGGTGGTCCGGGGGGACTCTCCCCTGCTGCCTCCCCTACTCCGGCTCCGGCCTCCAACTATGCCTTGACCCTCACCCACACCCACATACATATCCAGCGTCTGTCACCACGGCCGGGGAAGGAAGCCCGTCTCCTGCTGCCTTTATCAGAGCTAGTGGGGTGCAGCTGCCCTCGTGCCCCTGCGCCCCCTCTCCTGGTGCTGTATTGGTACCCGCCAGGCAAACGGCGGAAAGGGGTGTCTCGGCGCAGGCAGGTGAGGGCCTACCTGGCAGAAAGCAGGCCTGAAGCCGAGAGGTGGTCGGCTGCTGTGCAGTGTCTACTCAGAGATGTGACCGTCACTGCTGAAACAGGTGCGTGTCTCACTAGATGCTTTCTTGTCCAGGTTGTGTGATAGTTGTTAGATGGTTTTGCATGTTACAGGACCGTAGTTGTGATAGTAGTAGGCCATTAACTATAAATTGTGTACATTGTTTTACCTGTTTTTGTCA